TATAACCACTAAATTAAATAAAACATAGAAAACCAACTTTGAAACGTTGAGAAAAAGTGCAAATAGGAATGTCAATTTTATATATTTTTATTTAAAAAAATTAATTTTGTCAATTTTTAAATAAAAATATTAAATTTAAAATTAAATTTTAATTTTTAAATATAAATTAAAACATTATTTTTTAAAAAAACCAAAAATGATAGGTACTAATTTTTAAATATAATATCTTATTATTTTTCATGACCTTCAACATTCCGGGCGCTGGCCTTTACCCTGCCCAAACAGGAAAGGAATAAAGAAAAGGGCATCATTGAATTGATTGGGTTTTGTATAGTCTTCCAAGAGTTTCATCATCAGCCACCTTTTTCCATTGTCTGTTTCAGAACCGCTTGGTACACGTGGCTAAATTCCTCTTTCAGCTTCCAATCCCCGCACTCATCTCCCTTCTCTACCTCTTCATCTTCTTCAGTTCCTTGCTCGGCAACTTGGGTTTCTGCTGTCAAAATCAGCTGTAAGTTTCCAACTTTGATGTGGTTTTTTAAAGTTGATTCCTTTTGTATGTGGGTGTTTTTCCTGGTGCTCTTTTGGTATGATGTTCTATAATTCAACTCCTTGAGATAAGAAAAAAAAAAAAAAATCTGAATTCTGGCTTTGTTCATCTTTTTGTTGCTGAATTCATGAGGATTTCTTTTCTTCCATTTTTCTTGCTCTTCTGCTCCTTGTAGTTTTAATATTTTCACTTGGAAAGGTGTGACTTTGCTTTGCTTGCTTATGAAATTCTTGAATTTCACTACATGAGGGTTTCTTCTGTTTTTCTTAAAATTCGTAGGAAGAATCTGTAATTTTCTTGTACTTTGTTGCTATGGTTTTGTGTATGGCAAAAGGTTTCTTCTTTAATTGAATAATTGCTTAAAGTAAAAAACTTTGGGGCATCTACTCGATTAAGCATTTCTCATTCAGAACCGTCAAAGACTTTTAAAACTGTATTGTACTTTTTTTAGTTTCCAATTCCTATCCAACAATTTCAAAATTGTTTGAAAAACTATGGAGATATTATTGAATTAGCCTATTGTTGTTTTTGCTTGCGGCTTTCATGACAACATCATCAATTGACAGGTTATTGCTACAAAGTATTTTGTGTTCCAAGCTCATAAGATCAAGCAATTCTGAGGAAGATTTCTGACTGTAATCATGAACATTAGTTCACCTGTGACTGCGAGAGATCAGAAAGAAAAACCAAATTCCCGTGTTGAGGTGAAAATTTCAAAGCTGCAGTTTAATGTGATCATTAATTTTTCTACAAGTGTCTCTTGTTCATTTGGTTCTGACTTGGGGAATCATGTTGGTTTCAGGTTACTAACACAGAAAAGCAGTTGTGGTCGTCAATCCATTCCAAAGGGTTATTGCATTCTGATGTTCGGGACTTGTACCACAAAATCTGTTCAAGTTATGAGGAAATTATTCTAAGTGATCAAGAACTGACAGAACTTCAAGATGTTGAGTATTCGATATGGAAGCTTCATTATAAGCACATTGACGAATTTCGTAAAACAATAAAGAGAAACTCCTCTGATTCGGAAAGTAAGACACCCGCAATTCCACGAAGTGGTGTTATTGACAGCCATATAGAAGGATTTAAGACATTCCTACAGGAAGCAGCTGACTTTTACAAAGAGTTGATTGTAAAAACCAGGAGTCATAATGGGCTTCCCATAGAGTCTTCCATTTGGAGAACAAGTGACATCTCGGCTGAACCAAAGAAATTGCAGAAGTGCCAATTCTTATGCCATCGTTTTTTAGTTTGTCTAGGGGATCTTACTAGGTATAGAGAACAATATCAAAAATCTACTGCCCAGAATCCTAATTGGTCAGTTTCAGCCACCTACTACTTGGAAGCTACAATGGTCTGGCCAGATAGTGGGAACCCGCAAAATCAGGTATTTTTGTTTATCCTCTTAGTTCCTTTACTGGTACTGCTGTATGAACTTGGTATTGATGCTAACTCCATAGGTTGTAGTTGCTTAATTCGATCTACAATGCTCTACTCTGTTGGTTCATGCATATGACCTACCATGTTCATTTTCAGTTGGCAGTATTGGCAACTTACGTTGGTGATGAGTTTCTTGCCTTGTACCACTGTGTAAGAAGTTTAGCAGTTAAAGAACCTTTCCCTGATGCCTGGAATAACCTCATTTTACTGTTTGACAGGGTAACATTTGATATTCTTCACCTTTTTTTTTTTCAAATAAATTTTATTAGCTACAACTTGTGCCAATTCTGATGGGCATGTGTTGGCAATTCTCAAATGCTGTGATACTTCAGAACAGATCATGTTTATTGCCTTTTCTCTCAAGAGAGGCTCAGTTTGATTTCTTAAAACCATCCAAGCGAAGCTATGGACAAACCATATCAGCAGCAGATCATGATTCTCCAAATTGCAAACCATTAAAAAGTGAACATGATGGCTGGGTGGAAACAAATTTGTGGCCACTTATTATCAGAACTCTGAGTTTCTTCTTCATAAAATCCAGGTACTCGTAATGAACTGATGCAGAACTTGTTCATTTTTGAGGATCAGACTTTGCATTGTTTGATGCTTACAATTCAGTTTCAACTAAGTTCTGATGTTTTAGTGGTTTTTCCTGTGAATCAGCTTAGAGGACTTCTCTTCTACTTTTGCATCTACCTTGAGAGGGTTGGACATGGTGATAGCAGTAGATGATATGAAACTTAGAGAAATGTTGGAGTCCTATCAGCTTATGGATTCAGCTAGAAGAGGTCCCTTTCGGGCCCTTCAAGTTGTTGCTATATTCATCTTTACCTTCCATAACCTAGTTAACAGCCAAGAAATTGAAGGGAAAAAGCACATAGAGGATGCACATCATCTTGAGTTGACGCGGTTGGCATTGACGGCTACATTCATTTTAATGGGATGTCTTGTGGAAAGATGCTTGAAGACAAATGCCGTGCTCTTTTGCCCCCTATTACCTGCTGTACTTGTTTTTGTGGAGTGGCTGTTGAGCATTCTTGATATAGCTGAAGAATATGGTGCGGATGAGAAAACTACAAGTGCCATATCATATTTTTTTGCTGCTTTTGTCAACCTTTTAAAGCAGTTGAATGGTAAGGCTGAAGTTTCATCTCATGAAAGAACTGCACTGTGGGAAGACTATGAGTTGAGAGGCTTTGCACCTTTAGCTCAAATACATGTTTCATTGGATTTCTCATGCAAACATACAGAAAACTCTGAGAGTGGGACTGAATGCCGTGCTGACCGCATCATTGATGCTGCAAAGAAGATAGCAAACAGATCAAATGGTTGGCGTAAATGGATCAATTATGATAGTTTAGGAAGGAAATTCTATGGGGAAGAGGGAAATGTAATTTCAGAAAGAAAAGAAACAGAAAATGATGAGTTCATCATTTCTGATATTGAAGTGAAAGGGCTGCATCAGACCATGAGTGGAGACCTAAAAGTTGAGACTGAGATTCTGAATGAAAAGTTAAGCAATCATTCTGTGAGCGGGAAATCTGTCGTGGTTGAGGAGGAAGAAGTCATTGTCTTCAAGCCACTTACCAGATTTAATTCAGCCCCTCTTTATGCTTCTTCTAATGGAAGAGACCCTGCCTCTCCAAAAGGGATGGAGGATCAAACATTTCCTTCTGATGAATGTTTGCGACGTGCTACGTCAGTACTTATAGCCCAAAATCAAGCTGATGGTTATGATTCAGATTTTCAGTTTGACCTCTCAAATTTCAGGCGTAGCAAGCCATTCAAGCAGCAGGAGCTTCTTGTAAAAGATGCATTACAGCAGCCACTTTCAGAGGCACCTATCTCCGCTGGACCTCCATCCCTTAATGCTTGGGTTCTAAATAGAGGAATTTTGAGCGGTGATAGAGAAAAAGTAATAAGTGAAATTAGACAGGGCTTGAGCCCTATTGAGGAAATGGCTTCTGAATCCTTGATTGGTCTCTCCATATGTGGAACTGATGCTTCTGTCACTTGCTCAAAGCCTGAAGCTTCAAAAACCCATTACGTGTCTCCTGTGCCTTCAGCTCCACTATTACCGGATGATGCTGCTTGGTTTAGTGGTCTTCAGTCAAGTTTTTCTGACACTAAGAACTCAGGGTGCATTAACAAACCAGAGAATTTCTACAATGCAACACAGGTAGGTGGCTATTCTAATTGGCCTGCAAATGCCCAGCTTCATTATGGCCCTCCCATTCCAGGTTTTGTGGAGAAGTTCCCACCATATCGTGGAATGACTTCTTCTGAATGGCTTCGTCAATACAGAGAAAGTCGCAATATTGAACGAGCCAGTAGCCATACCTGGCCAGTGAACTATTATGCTGCTGTGAACCCTGGAAACTTCCCCACTTCCCCATCTGGCCTTTTTGATCAATATGGAATTCCTTCAGCTCCTAACACAGTGATGCATAATGAACCTTCACCATTGCATCCGGGATTTCCTCATGTTTATGGTATAGATGAACAGAGAAGAGAGAATCTGTTCTATGGTTACCAAAGACCAAGCCCTTATGGCTGTGGTGCTGTTACTGAATTTGGACAGGATCCACGGCCAATTCTGCAGTATCTCAAGGAGAAAGAATGGCTACTTCAGCAGGATCCAACCTTGGGCAATCATAGGTACATGTGAAATTAAGACTTCTTAGAAACCGTTGATACCAGTAGTTATAATCCTAGAGTTCAGATGTCAGTTTAAAGAAGCTGGCAATTCTGTTTGCTTGTATATATCAATAACTGCATGTGAAGAAATATCATTTTTCTTGTTTCATGTTCTATAATATTCTCTTTCTAACTAGATTTTACTCAGAATGTACTTTGTAGAAGAGCATGCTTGTAAAAATTCTACAAATTTGACATGAATTAGAAAAAACTTCAGAAGTATTATTTTTGAATTTTGAAAAAAATAAGAATACAAGCTTCATTGACTATACATATATACACATATTTTTTGCCTTCATTAACTACAGTTAAGAAAGCGAAATGATTGAATTTTGTAATTGGCCGAATTGCATTAGCAAATGACAAGGCTTCTCGCACAAAATCTATGGGGGGGTGGGGTGGGGTGGGGTTGTAAAAGCTACTTCCAGCACCATCACTTCCACAGCTCTTCCACTGGGATTTCCTCGTTCACGAGCAACATCGCGGAACGGCCTCATCTTTTGCACTGCAACAACAGTCGCTCTAGCATTGTTGAGGGCATTCTTACTTCCAATCTGCTTTCCTAGAGCATTTTCAACACCTGCCATTTCAAGAACAATTCTCACAGCACCCCTAGCAATCACTCCAGTACCTGGTGAAGCAGGTCTAAGCATCACCTTTGCTGCTCCATAATCACCTCCAGATATGCCATGTTACTCATTAACACAAAATCAGATTAGCATAAACACTTAATCAAACATTAACATATACTGTTAATAAAGTCTGCTACTCTAAAGCTACTATCTAAAGCCACTAAAGTATGCAACTTTGTTCTAGTTGCTTCAACCAATTCCTGTACCTTGTCTGATTGGGCAAGCCTGATGTATCTCAAATGATATCATTTGGTCCAAGTTTCAGCAAAGATAACATTTTTATCAACTCACACTATGAGCTCTGCGAAATAAAACTTAACTGTAAAACACATGTAGAAGTTAAAAAGGCCAACTTCCATTTAATTGGTCAAAGCAGGTATGATGATGTCTAGAAATCCATTTCTATGCTCATAAGCAGCATCTCAAATTCTCAATATCTTAGAAACTTGCTATCAACTGGCTAAACACCACGCCAAGAATTTACATAAACTAAACATAACCTCAGATTAGGTAGCCCTATAGTTTGCCATAAATTCTTGAACCAATGAACAAACCTGCCAGGTGAATGCCATATCTTTAAGGAACATACAAAACAAGATCGAGCTGCCATATCTTCAGTATGAGGGTGCTAAATTTATGGAAAACAGTAATGTGCTTCAAAGCTAACGCTAAAACTCATTCATTGGACTCAACAACCTCGTATATTCATTTGGAGAGCCTACATCTCCGATTTAGCTCCCATAATGTAAAAAATAGCATTGAAGTACGGATAAGAAACCATATTAACATAAGGCAACAAAAAATGCATTGGTTTCAAATATTGAACTAATAGCTCCACTCACCGGCAATATAAAGAGAACTCTTGCATATATATGATCGCTATGACAGATGCGGCACCACAGAATTCAATTAAACAAAGTTTCTCATATTGAAGTAATTTCCACAATATCCTGCACCCTACCATAGATTCCCAATAACACTATGCCAGCAATTTGGACATCATTAACCAGTTCTAAGTTAACCCATATCAATCAATCAAAATGCATAGATAAAGCACATACAATACAAATCAAAAACCCAAAGAACCAAAAAACAATTAGGCAAATTGTATCCATCAGACAATTCTAGACGCTAGTGCTCGTGCCTTCAGTAAATTTTCTTACAATACAACATTCTCATTTATCAAGCTTCATATAAACATAACTATAGGCTAAAGAAACTCGAGCAAGCAACAGAGAATTAAACTCCTTACCGATGTGGAAACGTTAAGTACTTGGTCATAGGCACCGTAATAATATTCCTCCTGGCATTCACAGCAGATTTCTGTACAGCAGCAATCACCTCCTTGGCTTTTCCAACACCAACACCCACCTGACCCTGCTTGTCCCCAACCACCACAATTGCTCTAAAATGCAACTGCTTCCCTCCTTTCACCACTTTAGTCACTCTCCTCACTTGAACCACCCTCTCCTCGAACCCGTCCCTAACATTCTCCTTCTCTATTTTCCCAAAAGCACTAGTCTTTTTCACTTTCGAGTCCATGACATAAATGTCATTGCCTAACACAGATACCCCACTATATGCCGGGCAATATCTTCTTCAGCCTCCTCGGGGCCATCGTCGAAGGAAGGAGGGGGGACGAAGCCTTCTGGTGGAGTTGGGGGATCGAAAACGATGTCATCTTCTGGGTCAAGGTTATCGAAGAAGGAGGTGTCGATGTCACTGGGTTTGGCTCTGGGTCGGAGGACGACTTTATAGGAAAGGCAGAGAAATGGGCGTGATGGAGGTGAGGATTTGGATGATGTGGGGAATAGGAGAGAGAAGCGAGGAGTCGTGGGGTTATGCACTATGAGAGAAGAGAAGGAAGGCAGAGCTGCTGCTGTTAATGTCGCCATGGATCATGGATATACAGAATCGAAGCAGGGGAGAGTGCATAGAGGGAGAGGCTTAACCCCCACCTAAGTCTATAGTGAAAAAGAACTTCAAAAATGTAGAATAGGATTTCATCTACTTTTAAAACTGAGAAATTAGGTACTTAACCTTTTAAAATTTTTCAATATAATCCTTTTGTGTAGCAATAGATTCAATACCATTTATCCAAGCTAAAAAAAGGGGCAAAAAATCATTAATTTTAATCTACGAATTTTCATATATTTTATTGAAACCTATATTCTTCTCTCGTATGAAATAGAGATGTAGTTGCTCGATTATTAATTTATTATTGTTATATAATATTATTTAAAAATATATATTAATTTTGTTTGAGTTAATTATTAATAATATTTAATAATTAATAGAATTATTAATATTCATTATTGATATTTTTAGATATCATAATTAATGTATTTAAAAAAGTTATAAATATTAATAAAATTAAACAAAATTTTATGTAATTTTAACAAAATCTTGAGTGATCATAATTGTACCTATGAAATAGTAAAAATTGGTTAAACAATTTAGTTTTTTTTAAAAAAAAACTAAATACCTTTAAAAATAAAAAATGTCATAGTAAGATTCAGACTATGGCACAGACACAACGGCAAATGACAGAGTGAATATATCAGCCTTTTTATTCGACCAGGAGAAATCAGCTAAGACTTCCTTCCCCCAACCCCAGAAACAATGAGCTGCCGCCATATGTAAGTATAGAAACTTAATGATAAATAGCATTCAGACTATGGCACGTAGCATATTCCCCAGACGTTGATCACAATGAAAAGTTGTACCGATCTACATCCGGTAGCATACCAAGACTACCATAGCAATCGTCAAAGTTTATGAACTGGTTATCATTGTCTCCAGCCGTCATCAACGGTGATGAAGGTATTATGGTTGCACCAGAAGCAGCTGTTTGATCATACGTTTCTGCTGGATTTGTGACGTTCGGAAGTAGATCATTTTCCACTTCCTGATCCAGTGGTCTGTATGAATAACAAGTATTACTATTCATAGATAATGTTGTAAGATCGTAGTATTCTTGTTGTTCCGTGTGTTCGAGTTGTTCTATGAGTAGTGCTAAAGATGCTTCTTCCTCATCTCTAGGTTGGTATGTGATATCTGACATATCTAATTGATTGTTATAATCGTCGTTGTTATTGCTGTTGTTGTTATGGTTACTGTTCGAAGGTTCTGTATCAATCCTCCACGCCTTTGTTATTGAGAAATACTGCATCCACACGTGAAGAAAAAACGAAATCATTATCAAGATGCAGAAAATAAGTTGCATAAATTCAGAATTGTAATGCTACGGTAAGCCCTCACCTCGCAGGAAAACCGGAAACGGTTCATCAGATCTGTGTCAACATTTTTTTGACTCTTTACACAAAGAACACCATATTAGACCTATAATTCTTAATTGCTTTCACAACACTGTAAGCCAAAGCAATTACCATGTTTGTGTGTGTGGTCAGTGATGCAAGACTTGCTATGTTCAACTCCAGCTATAAAGCTCCAACAGTTTTACCTCATCCAAGTGCGTAGTCCTAGTGTTTTTCTAGCAAGCAATTTCAAAAGTCCTACGTGTTTAATTTGAACAGTTGTATGACCAACACATCATCCATTACGTGTACATTCAATGCCCATGCCATTTTGTCCATTTTTTATAACCTCCCCAATTTTGTGCTTTGTCCGTTTTCCTTTTCACGTCCTTCCAAATTGTAGAATGGATTTTTGTCCTCCAGCTAAACAACCCATTTCCCTTTTTCCATGTTCAAATCCTGCTTTAAATTTTTAATGGATTATCTGATTAGTGTCATGGTTATAAGGAAGACAAGGAAAACTCACGAGATTCTTGCTTTCGTCTTCGTATAGAGTAAGGGAATCTCCAATCTCCAGTCCATTATGCTTTACAAAATCTCCTGGAAGTTGAAAATGAAATCTTGATGAACTATATGGGAGGAAGAAGGTTGGAAACAAAATGTATTAGTAAAAGTAAGTTTGATTTAAGTTTAACCTGTATTTTCGAGAACGTACATTCTGCTCTTGTTATTGATCCAGAACCTGTCATATATAGCAGTGAACATTTCATGAACATTTCCCAAATAAAATAAAATAAACGGCAGACCAAACTTAGATTAGATTACCCATATATAGACTCACTTGTACTTAAGGGTCCACGCTTGCTTAGAGTATATATCCCTCATCACTACCGGGATGCCTTCTTTATCAGAGAGTTTTGGAAGGTTTTCCTCCGCCTCTCTCTGAAATAAGAAGCATGTTAATATTGTTATAAGGTACATTAAATAATAGGAGACTATATATATTCAGAAAGGTAAAATTAAGAGGAAAATGAAAGTAGAAAATGAGGGGTACCAAAGAACAAGTTTTGAGAATTAGAATCTAGGAAGACAATAATAGTTATTTTTAGGTAACTAGCATTAAAGGGTTACTAGTGACAATAAAAAAAAATATTACTACAACTAACCAAATTTGTGCAAGAATCGAGAAGTCAAGAAAGGATTAATAATTGGACAGTCTAGATGACAACCATGTTGCAGTATTCAATAAGGGCAAAACAAGCACTAATGGCCTATTGGTTGGTTCATTAACTTCTTTCTCTTCTTTCAGAATTTCCTTTTCTAAACAAAATGGAGGATAGAACAGAAAAAACAAACAAATGATGGGATATAAGTTGATACTGGGAGAAACCTTGAGAACATCTTTATTGATGAAGGAGGCCTTACCTTTGGAAGGACTATCCTCCCCAGCGACGCAACATCACTGTTCTTCAAGTCTTTCTTCAGCAACACTCTTAGTCTCTGCAAATCAAGTACCAAACCCAACAGTCTCATTAATAATTAGGGGAGAAAAATAAACAAATCATACCATAAAAGCTCAAGTTCAGATTTCTAAAAACTCACCTTATTGTCTGGGGTGCAAAACTTGTATAGATCTCTTCTGATATTGTTATTGCTATTCACTTTTGCATCTACCTGAGTTGAAGAACGCAGACCTGAAGAAGCCCCCGTAGAAGAATTTCTATGCAAACTAAGGCTCCTTTGGCGTGCAAGTCTTCGCTTGATCCTTGCAACCTTGGTTATATATGGATCAAGAATTGTCTTTCTCTCTTGTTCATTATTTAGCCAATCTGTCTGCAAGAAGAATGTTCCTTGCACCCCATCACCGCCATTAATGGGGGTGGGTAAACCACCAAATTCATTTACATTTTGGCCCATCAAAAAGGGGTGCGCTGGATAACCAAAAGGCTGACCAGCTTGCAGCTCTACAGAGTATGCGTGAGGGAGTTGCAGGCTTTGGGAAGGTGACACATAATGTGATGGGTGACAGAACTGAGAGGCTGTTGGTATTGTTGAAGGAAAGTTGTTCAGCCTCAGTGGTTCATGGACGGAGAAATCTGAATTCCTGGTAGAGGTTGAGGTGATGGTGGAAAAAGGTAAGGAAGAGTTCTCCATAGATAGAGAGAGAATGTGATGATGAGTCTCTGGGTTTTTTCTGTGGTGCTTGAGTTGAGAGTTTACTGAGTTGGGTATGTATTTTGTTGTGTGTTTGAAATGAGTACAGAACAAAGTATGATTCAAGAAGGTCGTGGGGTGGAAGATACTGCCAGTAGGATGTATCCAGGTGTTGAAAAAGCATGAGAAACGCGTCAGGTGGTGCAGAGGCGTCGGTGGAGAGAGAGAAAAGGCCATGAAATTGTGTAGAGAGAGTGCATAAAGAGATTGAAGAGATGAGAGGATGCCAATGAGATAGAGTCGTTGACAGGTCACCGGAGAAAGGAGGTTTTGGGATACCCATCCCACCACTGAGATAGCTCGAGAAAGAGTTGGCACCACCTTTGGTTTAAATGTGGCAGTCTTGAGGTGATCCTGCACAGAACAACATGCAACCTTGGCTAACTCATACATTCATTGCCTCTCATCAATTCCTCTCTCTCTCTCTCTCTAAAGGCACTAAATATAGACTTTTTTTTAGGAAACTAAATAAATGGTTCTTTAATTATATCTGAAAAAAAAAATGACAAACATGACATTTCAATATTTAAAAAGTTTTGATTGTTTATAAAACTATTTAAATATTTTAAATAAATTTTTATTGTGTATTTTGATTCATAAAAGATAATTAATTTTTTAAAGAGATTTAAATCTTTTTATCATATTCATAAAATTTTAATTATCAGCTTATTTAGATTTTTAACCATAAAAAAAAGTTTGATTTTAATAGCAATGGTCACCTGTTCGATTTTTTTTCTTTTCTTTTTTGGAAAAAATGTGAGGGATTGAGTTAGTTTGAGATGAGATGGGATGTAAGCAGCTTTATTTTGAAAATTTAATTTAGGAGTATGTGATGTTCTCTGAAACTGAAATTTTGATTTATATAATGTTCGGAAACTGAGTGAAATATAGAGATTGAAATTGAAGGAAATCTACACGTACATTCATCAAGTTTGTCTTGGCCTTCTGCTCACAGTCTCCATTGTCTCTGTTCCATGAGATTATTACAATGCTTACCAATGAATCCAACCCTTGGAGTTTGCTATATGTTTTATTCGTCTTCAGCCTGGTGATGTTATCAGGATCAAGGTCCCCATCATCTTCTACCTGAGTAAGAGAGAAGTTTTTTTTTTGCTATCATAATAAGCACATTAAGGAGCTCCATAAAGCGGAACAGGGACAAGTATTAGACTAAAACATTGATGAACTACAATCAAATTAATTGAAATGAAATTAAGCCAGTGTGGTAACCTCAAAATTGAAAATATCATCCACAAAATTAAGGTTGAAATTAGATTTTTAAGAATAACTACCAGATATCAAGCCACTGATGACAGTACTTAAAAGAGTAAGGAAATCATTTTTGTTGATAGAAGAAGGTATGACTTTGCTGGTAAACTTAAAAGGAATCCTCTCTGTAAAATGGAAAACTAAATGGATAGCTTTAAGGAGATGTTAAAATGATGGCTGTTGTGCACTTCCATAACAAGCTCAGAGGACATAGAAAACATCAGTTACGCTATGGGAAATTTATCAAGTGAATACATTAATAAAAAGCTAGGTTTTGTTTCAACTTATAAGAATATTAGAAATTTCAAATCCGCTACCAAAATCATGTTCTAAACATGAGGTTGCTAGCTTTGCATTGAAATTCACAAAAACTGGATGGCAGAAAGAACTTCCACAACAATGATTGCAGTTTGCAGGTGATTTCTACTAGCTTAACAGGTGCAGTGCTAACTGGAATTATACTACATGCATTAACATTCATATCTGCCATTTAAAACAAAAGCTTAATTTTGATCTCTTACAACCTTCAGTTATTTTCCAAGCTGTTCCCATTCAAAGTTCCTCCATCACGCATTCAAATTCCATTATAATCAAGCATGCAGAATGGTAAAATCAACCAAGTTTCAGAAGAAATGAGTGTTTGCAGATAGGATAAAGCACAGAATGTATGTATAACATTGCCAGATCATACAAAGGTTGGCCAACATAAAGGCAGATGAAAATATTGAAACAGATGAAACATGCAGATCAAAGGTCTAAATTCATGATCATTCATCACAAATGATTTCAGGCAACCTAAATACTTGAGCAAACAGGAAAAAACTTGGTGCTTAATAAGAAAACAAAGAAAGCATCAATGCATCTAAGGATGCCATTTAATTAGAAAAGAGGATGATCAACAGAAGTCAAATCATACAGAATTTGAGCATTTTACTTACAGAGCTAGTCATGGAATCTGTATTTCCATAAAGAGATAACCTCAGAGAATCCATGTCAGTAAATAAGACTAACACTCATCGCTTCAATAAAAATGAAAGGTTCTCTACTTAAGACTTCAGGCGCTTTGAGGATCTAGGAAGAAGAAAAGAAAACTCAATGTGGTAATAGGAATGGAGGAGCTTAGGAGAGAGTTGTACTCAGAAGTATGTGAAGAAACATTGTCACAATACTCATTTATATAGAAGGCTGAAGAGCTTCATGCAAACTAAACAAGCCTGCGTTGCAACACCTGCCTAGATTGATGATAGGTGTCAGCTTCCAAAACATAACGCTAAACACGTATTCCCCCGAGAAAGACAATTTAGGTACGTAAGCAGGAGTTGCTTGATCACCACTCATGTCCAGCTGGCACATTGTTAGGAAACGTCACAGAATTTTTTTTCCTCAAGAAAGTGAATTTACAACCAATAATTACATCTGTAAAATCAAATAAGGTCATTAATAAAAACAAATAGGCATGCGGAATGCAGTTTTAAGTTCTCTCTACATGCTAGAAATGGAAGAAAGCAATCAATAGAAATCTAAAGATTATGGATGGTATTACAGAATCATGATAATTAATAGCTGTAACACATCGTTCCTTAACCAAAGGGAGGACTACAAAATGCAAGCTATGGCCAACTCATGAACCTACAAATGCTCTCTTTTACAAAGAATCATTTCATCATCTTATCCGCTAACCTACGATCAACATCACTAGAAGAGAAAGTTCAAGAATTTGCAAATGTCATACATATAGCTAAAAAGAACAAACAAAACTTCCAGATTAGGTTCAGAACTATTGTCAATTCTACTGAGAAACACTTTGATATATCCTAATACACTTTAAGGAAGGTAGGGGAAATGAGTACTGCAGAATTAGGAACCGCAAAGAATTCTAATATGCACAGATTCAAAAACAACAACATTACCAAACAAGACTATCTAGGAAGACAGGAGCAAATGTTTTTACTGTTGAAAAAGGAAAGAAACAGATATGTTGTTTAACATTCCTTTTAAACTAGTAATCATGAAGCTTATATATGAATTTCATAACCAAATTGTGATCAGATAGATTTGGAAGTTGAACCACATGTTTCATTTAGGACTAAAATAGAACAGTTGGCAAGCATTTGATTTCAACCAAATTCCAATTGATAATAGATTACATAACCAAATCCAAATTGTCGAACAGTTACCTGGAAAGCGGAGGATCCAATCCTTTTGGGATTGCCTGACAAAGTAGCAGAGGTGAGTTTGGAATTTCCCAGGGCAGGTTTGAGCGCGGGAGTAAAATTTCCATGCTTCTCTGCTCTCTGACTGAAACGTTGCAGAGATGAACACTTTGGGCCACAATGATAATGGTACTGACTGGGTGTGTAGAATGAGCTCGACCCATTAAGTTGAGGCCAATGGGCCTAAACAGAGCCCATTATCGTCAAATTATGAAGGTTGGAGATTAAAGTTATGTTTTTTTATTGCTGTGAAGTGAAAAATTATATTATTATTTAATATTTTTTTAAAATTATTATGTATATTAATAGAGAAGAAAATTACTTATATAAAATATTAATTAATTATTTTTTTCAATAATTAAAATTTATCCTATTTTTTAGATAAAAAATTATTATTTGATAATTATTTGAAAATTGTTATATATATTAATATAATTATTAAATTATTAATGATCGCTTGATGTGGGTAGAAACAGTTTGTTTATATATATATATAAAAATAAGATTTTGAGTTAGAATCATATGAATGGAAAGACAATCATTTAGATAACGTCTTCTCTTATAGGATTTGATTTGAGTCGATTTTAGATTAATTGAAATTTAATATAATTTTTGAATATTAAAAGATTCAATAAAAAAACATATAACCACTAAATTAAATAAAACATAGAAAACCAACTTTGAAACGTTGAGAAAAAGTGCAAATAGGAATGTCAATTTTATATATTTTTATTTAAAAAAATTAATTTTGTCAATTTCTAAATAAAAATATTAAATTTTAATTTTTTATTTAAAAATATTAATTTTTAATTTTTTCTATTTAATGATATCAACTTTTAGTATTTCGGTTAAAAAATATGTTTATTATGTCAATATCACCATCTAATTAATTTTTAAATAAAAAAAGTTAAAAATTGACATTTGTATTTGTATATTTTCTTAAATAAAATAGGTTAAAAATTAGTATTCTTAATTATAAATTGATAAAATTAATATTTTTAAATAAAAAAATATAAAATTGATATTCTTATTTACACGTTTACTCCACTACCTAATTTGTCTTACATGAGAAAGCCTGAGGACCAAATTGTATAAAAAAGGGATAATAATCGGCCGGAAATTAAGAAGCGAACTTGTGTTGACTATGCTAAGTACCGAAAGACTAGAGAAAAGAGGCATGTCCTCCACCTGGCGTCTTTGACGCCACCTGTCAATTAAAACTCGCTGTCACCGTGTCTTTCCCTTTCTTCTTATTATAACATGCATGACTAATAGGCGAGAAAAGAGTATCAAAAACTCAGGAAAGAAAAACACACCACCTCAGAATCATACCGTTTGGAAAAACTCTAGCAATGGAAGCCATGTTCATCACCAAGAGCCGAATGTTCACCCTTTCAAAAGCCTTCCCTCAATCTCCTAGTACTCTCAGATCCGCCCCCAAAGTGTCTCGTGTCTTCTTCAACATCTCTGCTTCCAAATATGGGGTAAAATTTAAGCACAAAAAGTTTTTTTTTTTTTCATTGTAATTGGACTCTTTTTCCATGGTTATAAATTTTCTTCATCTATTTTCATGAATTTTAGGGGACAAATCCATATGCAGAATCCAGAAACTCTAGAGCTGACATGGCTTGCAGCGAAGCTGCCGACCGAGCGTCAAGGATGAGCGATACAGACGATGATGCCTTTGAAGAAACCATGGAAAAAGAAAAACAATATGCAAATGAAACTAAGGAAAAGGCCAAAGATGGGACTTACAAAGAGGTCGAGACTGCTGAAAACATTACAGAGAGGGCTAAGGAGAGGGCTAAAGAGGGTGTGGACTGTGGAGAGAGCTTCCGATACCACACAAAACGTGAAGGAGAAGGCTAAGGAGTATGCGCATGACACCAAGAAGAAAGCGAAGGAGGGGACGCAGAGAGTAGCAGAGACTGCTTCAGATATGACGGAGAGAGCAAAGGAGCATGGACGGGGCATGATGGAGAAGACGGCGGAGGTGGTCGGTGATGTGGCTGATAAGGCCACAGAGACTGTAAAAAGTAGGGGAGAAAAGGCAAAGCAGACTGCACAACGCAACAACAAGGGCTACTAAAGAGACAACGGAGAAGATCAAGGATACGTGGGGGTGGGGGGGCGGGAGGGAAAGGATGATGTGATACGGGGATCCGAGAAGACCATGGATGAGGATGTTGTGAAGTTGAGAAGGCGCGTAGGGGGAAATCCTGATACAGAGTATTGAAATTGGTTTTTCCTTTGTTCTCGTTAATTGGATAATGCAAACAAAGTCTAGTTAGTATTGGCTTGGTGTTCAAGCCCCATCCTCGTTTTCTTACACTTTCCCAATTGATCAACAAAATTAGAGGCTTTCACAACAATTAAAAATTAAAGAAGAGATTTTTAATCCAGCATAAGTCAAAGGTTAATTTATGATTTTTTTATTAATTTATATGAAAAAAAAAAGAGAGGAAAAATTGTATGAAAAATAAAAAAGGTTAATTATATATTTTTTAATTAATAAAAAAATTCGTAATTAATGTACCCACATGTCGGAAAAGTTCTTAAAAGAAAGAGAGATTTTCATGTTGTGGGGCTTTGATCATCTTAATTGGGTAAAGAATTGAGATTTGCAAAGGGGAAAGTGCCCAAATAAAGTGGGTTAAGGGGAGAAGTGGAGAAGGAAAAGTACAATTGCAAGTTGAGTTTGGGCTTAGAAGAGTTCTGTAAAGTAAAATTGGACAATAAAGAAACAAAAGGGACCAATTTGTGTTTAAAAAAATAGCCTGACCCATACTTTTCAGGCCGTGGTCTACATTGTGGGGACCACATGAGATGGGGGTGCAAGGAAAATGAATTGAGCAGGGGGACATGCTAGTATTTTTCTGAGGCAAGTGGAAGTAAAATATAAAACGGTGGCGTATGTGAGGAACATGGGACTGGAAGTGGAAGGGGAGCAGTTGTAACCCCTAACGGACGAGGGCGTCACCTCCTACTCCGCCATCTCTTTGGTTACGTTACGTTGGCTCGGGGCGCGTGCCGCTCCCACGCTGACGAAATAGAATAGAATTTCATCCATTTTGGCTATAGAAAAAGTCCCATTAAAATTATTAAAAAAAAAGTCCCATTAAAAAAAAAAAACATCTTAATATTAAAAATATTAAAATATTTAATTATAATTATTAAATTTATAAAATATAATATAAATTTTAATTTTATTAAATTTATCATATAATTATTAGTAAATATTTTAATATTTTTACTATCATAACGTTTTATTTTTTTTTACTAAAATCTAGACTAAATTTACTGAATATAAATATAGTTTTATAATTAATTTTAAATTTTAAGTTAGTACCTAAAATTATTAATTTTTTAAAATATATTAAGTTTAAGGAAGTATAATCTTAAAATTACTGAAAAAAATTAATTTAAAATATATAAAAAAATATAAAAACACACTAACAATAAATGTAATAAAAAATGGTCAGACCGATTTGGCCACTCAATTGGGATATATATATTTTTTGAAAGGAAGTTGGGCTAATTTTAAATACCATAATTACCCTTATATTGGAAATTGCATTTATATTGGTATCACTTGTTGCATCCAAGTTTGACAACTTTTTTGGGAAAATGCAACTTCTGCCCAAAGAAGGTAAACTAACAATGCCTAATTACTTTCTTTGTAGCAATAAAAAAAGGAGAAAAAATAGTGAAAGTGTTTCTATGAAGTGGAAAGGTCACCATGGTCTTTTTGGAGTGAATTATTGGGTGTCTGAGTTACCATGAGTGGGAGTGTCCAAATCAGAGAGCAAATGTCAAGGACAGCAATAGACAGAATCCAAGCATTTAAGTGTCTTTCTTGGTGAAGTTTACAACAGTTTATGAGGGTGAATACTCAATGAAATTAAATTTGTTGAAGTATATCACATCGATGTGGGGACATAATTTATTATGGGTGGAATACACTTGTAAAATTATTTAAAGTTGAAAAATTCTCAAGTTATATATAAATTAATTTAAAAATATTTAAATTAAAAAAATTAAATTTATTACCTTAAGACGAAAGAATGCTCTTAAAATTATTAAAAAGAAATTAATAACAAAGTTCACACAACTGTTTTCTTCTTTTTAAACGGTTATATTTTTCGAAGTGAAGAATTTAAAATCCAACTTTTAAATTAAAAATATATTTATATAATATGACTTATAGCCGTTCCACTAAAAAACCAGGTGCAACGAGGTTCACACAACTTAATCACAAGACATCCGACTTTCCAAATAATTAAACACAAACAAAGAAAACAGCTGAGAAAAAAATTTAAGAAAAAAAAGAAGAAACGTAACTCCAGGAAAGATATGACAGGAGAAGGAGAGAGAAAACGAATTTAGAAACAAAGAAGTGAAAGAACCCACAGTAGAGAGTAGTAGTTATCTCAACTCTGACACAGCCCACCACCCCGTTGCCGACCCCCACCCAGACCCTCTCTTTGGCCGCGCCGCCTCTCCCTCCTTCCCTCCTTCCCTCCTTCCTACTCGCTGGCCCCTTCCCTATTACCATGAATTCCCTTGTTCCCTTTAGCCTCACCTCTATAATAATTATCCTGCTGAGTCGTCTGATTAATTAATCAGGTCAATAACAACACTTGAGTTCGGTTTCCTTCTTGTTTGGGGTTGCTCTTGGGTTGGTGATGAATTGAGAATATGGAACAGAACCTGAACCTGTCCATTTCTCTATAAAAACAGTAGTACTCTCCACTACCCCTTAAAAACTTCTCTCTTTTTGCTCCAGATTGATACCTGTATTAAAAGCAACAAGTCAAGATTAAGGAGAGGACCCTCTTTTTTCCTTTTTCTTGCTTTTTTTTCTTCCCTACACAAACACATGTTGATTTATGGGTGCTCAAGAATTTGTCATCTGGGTTTAGGATTGAGAAATCTGGGATGATTTTGTTGGGGATGTGAGGGTTCTTGATGACAATTTGGATTTTTGCTGAAGAAGGTAGATTTTGTGGGAAGGGAAAGGCATGTGCACCAGATAATATAGATTCTGTTTAAGACACGTTGTTGAGTTCCTCTTTTCCGTCCACACCCTTATATCTCTGAAGCTCCCCTCTGCCCCAAACCCTGCATGCACTGAACTCAAAGCAGAGGAATCAGAGGTGAGTTAAGTTAATTAACTAGAGATGCAGCAAGGAGGAAGAGGAGGTGGTGATGGTATTGATGAGGAGATGCGGCAGAATCCTCCACAGGATCGGAGGTTGAAGCCGTTGCAGCAGGGAGAGAATCAGAATCAGCCGCATCAGCAACATCAGCCTCAGAAATGTCCTCGGTGCGACTCTCCGAATACCAAGTTCTGTTACTACAACAATTACAGCCTTACTCAGCCTCGGTTTTTCTGCAAGACTTGTCGGAGGTACTGGACTCAAGGCGGAACCCTACGGAATGTCCCCGTGGGAGGCGGTTGCAGGAAAGGAAAACGGACCAAGTCCTCTTCTTCCGGAGACAATTCAAGGTCAATTCAGCAGCAGCCACCGCAAACCTTGATGAACCCAACAAGCAACATCCTCTCCTCTAATCCGGTGATAGCCGGAAGTCTTGCTTTGAGGGCGAAAGAGCCTGGAAATCTTGCTTCACCTTCTGGGGTTTTTTCGATGGGATCGTATTACCCTGGCGGCGGCTTCCTGTCTTCTTTAGCAGCAATTCAGTCTCTGCATCCACCACCGGGGTTCAATCAACCCCTTAATCGGCCTCTCACCGCTGGCGGTGATCTCGGTGGTTCTTCTAACTTGGGTCTGTTTCAGGGATACAGGACATCCGTCCCTTCCTTTGGGTTGCAACAGCCTCCGTCCCAGTTCTACATGGGAGGCAGAGAAAAGGTTGAAACTTCCATCATGTACCAATCCGATCAAGAGACGATGCCTCAGTCTACCAGGGCATCTCAGAATTGGCAACAGAATTTCATCAACAATATTGCTAACCCTAACGCCTCCGATGCGGCTTTATGGAGCATAAGCGCCGCCCCCAGCACCACCCGCAACAACACTGGTTCTTCCTCTCTGAACAGAAATCAATGGCCTGATCTTCCAGGTTACGGTGCTCCTCCATAACACTACAAAATCTCCAAAGTTCAAACACTAGCTGAAGGAATTTTTTGCTTTTACATACAATAAACAAAGCTTACATTACATCTATTGCACCAACTTATTTGTGCTTTGATTATATTATGTTGGATTTGGGTATAATATTGAAAGTGCATGGAAAAGAAGTTTGCTTAGATAGCTAGGGGAGAATTTAGTAATGTGGGTATTCATGATTTCATGTAAATGAAAACAATAGCGGCGATAGACTTTTGTTGTCATATTTCTAAGAGAGAATTCGATCCTATGTTTGGATTTGATTGTTCTTCAAACCTTTTTTGAGACTATAGGTGTATGTCGTTTTTTTTTATGTTTAAGATTTTGTCTTAGATTGTTTCATTTATGCACAAAGATTTAATTAGTTTCTGTTGAAAAGAAAAGGAAGAAAAACCTGACTTTTAATAAGATTGTTTTTAGTTAGGGTTTTGTGTAAGGAGTAGAAAAGTCTTAAAAGAGAATGGGTAAAGAGTGCATGTGTTTGTAAAAGTTGTTCACGGGAGAATATTGTTCATTTTGTGAATGTGGGATAACTAGTGACTCTGTGGCATCATTTTACTCTTTTAAGTTCATGTGTACTTAGTGCTAGATTTACAATAAATAGTTCTTCTACTAGTTTCGTGTAGATTTTAATTTTAGAAAATAATTGGGGTAGATTTTAATTTTAAAAAATAATTGGGGTAGATTTTATTGTAAAAAATAATTGATACATGTTTTAGTTCAATACACTTATCAATATCTATCAATTCAATTATTAAAATCTATATATTTAAATTTTCTCATCTTTAATTTAAATTAAAAAATAATGCTTTTTTAATAAATAAGTTAAACTAAATGATGTACATATTAATATCTTTTAATTTGTTTTCCTGTTGTTGTAAAAATTAAAGTTAAGCTAGAATTATTTTTGATTGTTAAAGTTATAAAAAGTCGAAACTATGTATATCAAATCTGATTTCTTTTTAAAAAGTGTTTTCTACTTTTTGATTTTTGGATGCAGTGTTTTCTACTTTTATATATGAACATTTTAGCTTTTAGAATGTCACATGTTGAGGCACTATGTATATTTATGGGTTTATCTAATTTGTATAATAAAAGTATAGAGTAAAAGTATAATAAATATATTTTTATAATTAATTTTCATAAAAATAACAAAAGTTGATTTTTATTTTAGTGTTAATATCATGTGAATAGTTTTAATTAGTTAATTAATTAAATTTAAGTTAATTTTTATCAATTTTTATGTAAATTAATGATAAAAAATATATTTATTATATTCTTAATTTGTGTCTTAAAAATACATAATAAAAAAATATTATATTTATAAATCTCATGGTTTGTAATTTGATATAGTGAATTTTTTATTTTATAACTTAAATTATATTAAATTATAAAATAAAAATAATTAGATGAAGAGAGTATATAGTATTTAAATTACACCAAATTATAATCATTCAATGGCTACTGTTAACAAAATGCACAACAATTTTTCATTTTTATATATAGCTTTTAGAAAATATCACTTTGTTTGTTAGCAAAAATCTACTTTTAACTCCTTACTTTGTCAAGTTTGAAAGTTTTAGCTCTTTACATTATATTATGACATTTTTAATCTCTCATGTTGCTAGATTTGTAGGTTTTACCCATTATCTTATACTATAACACTTTTAACCCTTCACCTGTTAAAATTGAAGAAAATAATCTTCACTTTGTAATATTTTGTTAGTTATGTTAGTTGATTGTCAATTCTATTAATTGATTGTTAGTTGACTATTAACTATCAAAAACCTTCTTTCAGCTAATAGAATTAACTTTATAATATTTTGTTAATTCTATTAATTGACTATTAGTTGATTGTCAGTTGATAAAAATTTACTTTCAACTAACAAAATTAATAGTCAGTATAAAATGAGGGCTATTTTTTTTCGATTTTAATAGGTGATGGGCTAAAACCTATAAATCTAGTAAGATAAGGAGTTAAAAGTGTCACAGTATAAAGTAAAGGATTAAAACCTTCAAACTTGATAAGGTGAGGGGCTCAAAATAAGTTCTTGCCTTGTTTGTTTGTAGATTTTGAATTTAATAGCATTTATCAACACGAATTAAAGCCCTTATTGCTTGTTTTACTCCTTCCAGATTAGAATAGTTGTTCGTTTTAATTACTTTTTTTTACACAATATTAGTAGTGCTTCTATTTTTTTTTTTTTTTATAAAAATATCATTTTAAATAAAATTATAGTGCTACTTAACAACAATTACGTAGTAAAAAAATATCAAATGCTAATCTAGTACTTCTTTCAACTAAATTTAGTTGTGTGATGTTAACTATATATATATATATATAAAGTTTGATATAATAATTTTATATGGTAAATGAATAATAGTTAAATTTTTTTATTTAAGTAAAAATATTCAACAAGTATTATGTATAGAAAAAAATTTTCAATTGTTATCTATTTTTATATAAAATTATTTGATTATACTTTATATAAAAATCAAATTGAGATAACTAAATCCAACAGAAGGGAGTAATAACATACAAACGATTTTTTTAATATGTGTTCTAAGGGTATAATAAATACATTTTTACATTATAATTTTGTATTTAAAAAAATTTAATTTTTAATTTATTAATTGTTAAATTAAATTCATTCACTTAATAACAATACTAAAATTTATGTCAATTTTTACATTATATATATTTATGATAAAAGAAATACTCTTAAAAGCACAAATTGAATAAACTCATATAAAAAATATCACTTGAATTTAGAGGTTGAAAGGTAAAGTAGCAACTATTTCAAAACGGACCAAAAGAATAAAAAAGAAAAGAAAAGAAAAGCCTATTTCTGATCTAGGGCAGCACATATGTACAAGCTTTATCAAAACAATATTTCCCTAACAAAATAAAACAATGACAACAACAACACCAGGTTTTGTAGGTCAATCAGTTAGTGTGTCCAATACTTTAATTGATACTAAAATTTGAACTATGGTAATCCCATACAAATATTCTCTTTCACTTAACTCTAAATTGTAACCATTTAAAAAATAATGAAAAAGCAATGACAACAACTTCACATTCCAAATATGAAAAAGCCCCCAAAGGACAATTTATATCTACTGCGTAAGGGAAAGATGTAGCAGGTTGCATGGTATCACCGCGATCTGCCAATCGCTGAGCCTCTTTTTGGAAGCTAATTTCCTTGGATATTTTTTTGGGTGGTTATAATTGGTAGGTAGGCCTAGGCCACCTGTGCATGAAAGGGAAATTTTTTTAATAAAGGTGAAAATTAAAATGTCTTAACTTTTAAAAATATTAAAATTATTTGTAAAATTATTTAAATATTTATAATAAATTTTTTATATATTGGTTTATCAAGGTTATTTTGTTAATTTATTTTAATTTTCAAAAATGTCTTAAATTTCAATAATCTTTTTTTTCTTTTGGGGCGGGGGTGTTCTATTTCAATCTCTATAACTTCGGTCTGTCCTGGGCATTTCCTCCCACAAAAGCTAGATCCAGTTAACTTCTACCAAGGATATTCAAAAGAATAATTCTATGCATGGTTTTGTTGGGTCGGTACTCTTGACTCTTGGGAAACTACAAATTATTGCAGGGCACTACATATCATCTATTGGGAAAATAAGTAATGTTCAACTAAATTAAATTAAGCATGATCTCGACACAAGGAAAGAAGCTAGTAGTAGCTGGCATTTGACCTTCTCCTCTTTATAGCATGTTAGGTAAAATTTGTAACTGTTTAATTATTTTATATTATTTATATTTTATAAATTTAAATTTTTTTAAAAAAAGTTTATATTTTTTAATTTTAAAAAAATTTTAATTTTTTATTTTTTATAAATTTTTTTACTCATTTCTTAATCATTTTTTATTATTTTTAAAAGTAATTTTTAAATTTTTTTAATAAAAATTTAAATTTATAATCCATAAACAATATTAAAAAAATAAAAATTTTAAAGAAACTCAACCCAACATATCCTTAAGATGTTTAGTCTTAATTAAGGGCTTAATTAATATTTTAATGAAAAGGCAATGCGTGATTGATGAGAGATTAATTAATTTGTTCAATCAAAAAGAGAGAATAAAGATTGAATTGGCGTAGGAGTGGAATTGTGGTTTTCCAACTAAAGGCAAATCTTCGGTCTGCCACAGGGAGATCTCTGTCCAGAGAATATAGGCAGTAGTGAATAGCTCTCTTGGGATACCCCATTGCTTCTTTGCCGTACGCCACCCCACTAGGGTAATAAAATAATCTAGCAAGGGTGGTGAAGAAGAGATTGCATCACCATTCATTATGGAAAAGAAAAAAGCTAGTAGACTTACTCCCGTCGTTTTATAAAATTCAGCCACCAGCAGCCATTCTTTTGATTTTTTACAAAAGTACATTAATTCATCAACCCATTATATGGTTGAGGTTATTGATACAATATTTTTTTTATAAAATTATTAATTAAATCTAATTTTATATTAATATGTATTTTTTAAATAATTAATTATGATATTTAAAAATATTTATTTATATATTAATTTTAATTTATTAAATTATTATTATTTAATATTTTATTAATTATTAATTATTTTTATTAGTTAAATTAAAATTAAAAAATAACAATATTAAACAATTTTAACAAAAATTACAGTAACAATTCCCCCATTATACAAGTCAAGTATGGCTTATGGTGCATTTGGGATTGTAGTCGAGAGTTTTTTTATATATGTATATAGTATTTTTAGATATATATATATTTGATAGTTTTTTTTTAGATTATTTTTTATAAAAGCTGTAAAAAATCATAATAAATTCACAGTAATTTTATATATAAAATTAAAAGTTTTATTTT